TTTTTTTTTTTTTTTTGTAGCTTAAGGAAATTGAGCAGAAAGTTTGAGAAAAAATTCGTAGGCAATTGTGCATTAATCTTTTCTTCATAGCAAGCCTCCACAATTATGTAAATTCAGATTCCAAGAAATGTATTATAATTAACTATTAAATGCATTTCACTTACATTAGAATACTTGCGAAAAAAACAAATCCAGTTCAGTTCTATTAAAGGTAAAGTGAAAGTTCACTGCTAACATGAGGACGGGTATTTACATGTATTGTTTGTAAATAATCGGCGTCCCTTAAGGGGAAAGTAATTGGAAAGAAGATAACCCTAAGGGATAGCACAGTTCTTACAGCGTTTCGTTCGATTATTGTTTATTATGATGAAATTAACTCAGTCTTTGCTATTCGGGAGGTTCTGCACACACTGCTATTCACGCTAACTTCTGATTCGATAGCCAGTGCCAGAGTATATACTAGGTAGATAGATCAAAGCCTTCTTCAAATTTTTATAATGAAACCTATATGCAAATATCGTTAAGTGTACCATAGGCAAGAGGTGAAATTGGTTCACTCCGCCTAGTTAAAAACATGGTTAGGGACTAGCAAAGCGAATTGCAAAGCAAAGCTATGAATGTCTATGATTAATCTTTTCTTGATAATATAACGGTGCTTTTTTGCACCCACCCTTCGTACCCGATGCATCATATTTTGGGACGTAATGCCGTCACCGATCAATTTACTAAGAGTTATGCGGCATAGTTTGTGGCACGAATGCTTTGGTTGCCGATTTCGAGGTTTATCATCTCATCATGCTATCGTTAAGATGGGCGCGTATTACCCTATATATAAACACATTTATCGTTTTAAATTCCTTTCAGATTCTTATTTAAATTTTGCCCACCCGAGCGTGACTATATCGGGCGGCATTTTAACGACGGCACAAACTAGCTAAAACTTTGCATCTAAACCCTTACATTGACAAAGGCACATATGATTCGCTGCGAATTTTCCTAATTCTTAATGCTTGGCATAGTCTGCAGCCACGTCTCACTAGTGCGCCTTGATGATACGGCCGGGCATTTACAAATATTGTTGCTAACTGCCATTTATCTATGACATGCTGCCAATATCTGTGAAGCTCTCAAATATCTTTCCGACCTTAGGCAGTTCAATTTAATTTTCAAATAAACAAGGGGACTTGGTTTAAAGAAAGCACGTGAACATCACGCGCAATGTACTTTGCAGTTAATTATAATACATTTCTTAGAATCTGTATTTACATATTCGTAGAAGCTTGTCGTGAAGTTTTGTTTAACAAAATCCGTACACAATTGTCTATGAATTTTTTTCCCAAACTTTCTACATATTTCTATATATATCTACAGCAATTTTAGTATAAATAAAAGGGTCAGATTTCCAGAGCATCGCATTGTCACTTCAACATGAAATTGTTTACGATATTAGTTTCGGTCTTGGCTTTAATAGCTGTAGCTATGGGTGAGTAAACGATTACATTCTTATCCCCGATAAATGCAATTTTAGCAGGAGGTATTGTTTTATTTGAAAATCCTTTGATTTAATTACAGGTGCACCTAATCCTGTGCCTGAACCTCAAGGAGGCGGTGGTGGCGGTGGCGGCGGCAAGTAAATGCTCAACTATTCGCCTTATCCCATACGTCCAACACTTGGAATGGCTTTGTAGAAATTAAATAATTGATCTACAATAAAAACTTGAAGTTTTCAAAATAAAGAAAAAGAAAAAAAAATCAATTTCGTATTTTCTATTTAAAAATGATTAGAGAAGGGTTTTGGAAAAATTCCTCTGCCTCGGCAGATATAGAACAATTTCAGCAGTTTTTCAATAACCATCTCACTCCCATATACTCGATGCGGGATCGAAAATTATGCATATTTAGAAAAAAAGATATGCTGGTATTCTTTCAAGATCGTTTCAGTTTTTCCGTGTTGCCGGGCGTGCATTTGAAGAGATCATATCCATTTTTAAGCCTTAGGTTCCTAATCGATTCAGAAATGTTCACGCTGAACCTTGTCTTCCTTTTTACGACTGTTTTAATTTCGCAAAAAAAAGGATCAAAAAGGTCTTTTTTAGTAGAATTGGTCAGATGCAAGACATCAGTGGTTCTAAAGTTGAGCGACACTTATATATATATATATAAAATAAATAATAATAAATAATATCAAAATAATATTCGACAATTATTTACACTTAAACTTAACCAATTTAAATCGAATTGCATAAAGTTTTGAAAAGTTTATAACAATTTGTAATGATTATGTCACACCAATGGCAATAGTTCACAAAACAAATTTCAGACGAGGCAAAAATGGATGCATAATGAATTTATTATTGCGTTTGTAATAAGCATTAAACCGCATCAGAAGCCTAATAATCTTTTATATTGCCGATCTAAGTAAGATTGGAAAGCGATTATCGCGTGCTCACCTATCCCTCCCTTCTTCTGGCTTTTATAGCAAAATTCGCAAAAAGTTGAAATGGACAGTTGAAGTCAGTGCGGACTACAAGTCCATCATAATCCCGTGCTAAAAACGTCACGACTCGCATACCAGCGTACGCTTACGAAACAAGAA